ACCCTGTGGGGCAGTTCCACTCTGTCCTCTAGGGTTGCTAAGAGTTGGAGTTGACTTGATGGCAGTGAAATTTTTAATTGCAGTTATAGGGAATTATTTGTGAGCTTGTTCTTTTAATGGCAGTCTTTTCATCCAGTCTAAAAGTTCTGGAAGTTAGGAACACTGTCTTGCCACACCGTTTTTCTCCCGCTCTCTTTCCCTCTGCCCCTCAAATCCTCAGCACCCAGCACAGGGCTGGCCTAGCATTTACTGGATGGGTAGATCTTTTTTTATTATCCCAGTCTCTGTTCTTCTCCTGTGTCTGCAAACCTGGCACTCCCTCAGCCTCTCTGCCTTGTTCTGCTTCTGGAATGTTCTGTGTCATTTTTTCTGTTTGTGGGGGGTGTCCCCATGTTACTCTCCCCCTGCCTCTCTATTGGACTCTATAATCGTGCAAGTGCCACTTTGCCAATCACTTCGGCTTTTGCTTTGCCCCCAGAATAGTGCCTAAGACATCTGATTGCTAACCAGAAGGTTAACAGTTCAAACCCACCAGCCGGTCGGCTGAAGGAATACTGGGCAATCCACTTCCCTAAAGATTTACCACCTTGGAAACCCAATGGGGGGGGGGTCGCTATGAATCAGAATCGACTGCATCGCAGTGAGTTTGGTTTCAGTTTTTGGTTTCCTGTCTTTCAAGATTCCTGGTGGCACAGTTTAAGCCTAAGGCTGCTAAGAGAAAGATCCAAGGTTCCAACCCACCAGCTGCTCCATGAGAGAAACACATGGCCGTCTGGAAACCCTATGGGGAAGGTCTACTCTGTCCTACAGGGTCGCTATGAGTCAGAATTGACTCCTGTGGCAACGGGTTTGCTTTCTTTTTGGTCTTGTATGTCTGTCTCCTGAGCAGTAAAGGTGACGTCCCTCTCTGCATGTGTATCTAGCTGCCTGGGTGGGCCACTCTCCCCTCCCTGCCTTTGGGTGCCGGGCTCTCTGCCACCCCCAGCCTCGCCTGCCCGCCCCGCTCCCGTCCGTGCGGCGGCTCTGGCTCACGCACCCCACGGCGGGCCGGCTGGGCGCGCGCACGTCCTTGCACACGAGCCGCACGTAGCTGTACTTGAGCACGTCGATGAGCGTGTAGAGCGGGGGCGCGCTGGCCCAGCGGCAACGCGCCAGGTGCATGGAGCTCTTCACGAAGAACAGCGCCAGCCGCTGCTGGCACCACGCGTCGAAGAAGCGGCTGAATTCGGCCCAGGAGAAGAAGGCTCGCTCGCGCAGCTCCTGCTCCTCCTGCCCCGCCGCCGTTCGGGGTGGGGGCTCCGGCCGCTCCATCCTGGGGCGCCTGAGTTGAGGGGAGACGGAGATATCAGATCCACACCCACCTGGGCTGTCCCACTCCCTCCATTCTGGGCCTGCCCCTTGGTGCCAGGGCCTTTAGCCAGGTGGGCTGAGGGGCCGGATAACGAACCCCCCTCCCTTCTTTGGCTACACGTGACCCTGCACCCTCTGGGGTGAGTGGGGCCTGTCATCCTGATCTCTAAATCCCAACTGTGTCCTAGATATGACGCCCCCCTCAGGGCCAGCTCTTCAAACGTTTCCACCTGCCAGCTGAGGCCGCCTCCTCGCCATGGTTCTTCCTTCCTGCCTCCTACACGTGGCGGTAATCCCCACGTGCCCTCAGCGATCTGGGGATTCCCCCTCCATGTGTCTCCACTTGGCCGGAACCCCACTTGCTCCACATCCAGCTGTGCCCATCTCCAGCTGTGCCTCCCACCCGCCTCGCGTTCCTCACGCATGCGTGGTTCCCCTGCTGTGTACCCTCGGCTTTCCGGAGGTTCCCAAGTCCAGACGTTCGCCGCGCACCCAGCTACGGGCCTTTCACCTACAGGTGTGTCCCGCATCCACTGTGACCAATTCTCCCCAGAAGTGTCATCAATATTCACCTGTGGTCCCTCTCCTTCCCCACACACTCCAGCTCGGACCCCATCCTCCACGCTACAGCCGCCATCCTCCCCAGATGTGCGTTCTCGTCCGGACATGACCGCTCATCCAGCTGGGCTTCTGCACCCCAGCTGGTCTCCCACGTCCAGATGCGTCTCCCCCCAACTTCGTTCAGCCTCTTCCAGTCCGCTCCCGCCTCCCCATTCCTCCCCGCCGCGCCCGCAGCGGCCCCTTCCCGGGCTCGCCGTCCCACCCAGCTGTGTCTCTTCCCTCCCCCAGATGTGCACCCTTCCCGCCCCTCCCCACTCACCTACCCGCCCCGGAGCGGCGTCCGCCTCCCACAACGCCCCGCGCCGAGGCTCGGCCGGGTCCTCGCTCCCGGGATGCCCCGCGCTCTCTCCCGCCTCTCTTCCCGCCATGCCTTGCGCAGCCCCTTTTCCCCTCCCCCTCGGCCCCCGAATCGCTCTTTTCCCCGCCCGTCATTCCTCAAGCTCCCGGCCGCTTCCCAGAGTGCTCTGCAGGAGGGTTTGTCCCGGTTTTCCCTCTTTCCAGACCACCTCCCACTCGGAGAACTACAACTCCCAGCTTCCTCCTAGAAGGACATCCGCCTCCGGAGGAGCGGCCCTCTCTCGGGCCCCGCCCCTCGATTCGGCTCCGCCCCAGCCGCGAAGTCTGCGCGCGAATTCCGTGGCGCGAATTTGGGACTGCAGTCGCGCCCGGAGAGGACCGGAGCAGTGACTTGCAAGGCCAGTACAAGGCAAGTGGGGCCTCCTGCGCGGGGCTGGGGGCCTGGGGATGGCGCGTGGGCCGAGCACTCGCGGCCCCTGGCTTCGCTGGGCCGGGCTGGCTGCAGACAAGCGGGCGTGCGGGAAACGGGGCAGCGCGGGCAGCAGGGAGGGAGCTGAGGGGAGTTGGAGGGGCGGGGCGGCGTTCGCGGGAGAGAGACGGATCCGGGAGAACGGAGACTCGGAACGGAGACTCGGACTGGAGAGGGCCTGAGGACAGGCCGGCTTGAGGGGCGGGGCTGTCTAGGACTAGGGAGGGGGTGGGGCCAAGGACTAGGTTGGGGGTCAAGGGAAAGGTTGCGGGTGCGCGGGGACCAGGTGCAAATAGGCAAGGTGGGGGCGGGGCCAGCTAAACTGAGGACGAGCAGGGAGAGGCGGGGCCAGCTGGAAGGGGTGGGCCCAGCTGGACAGATCTGGGGCCCAGGAGAGGCCATTGGTAAAGTCCAAATGTAGGTAAAGGATTTATGAAGGGATAGGGAACTTACTGGTTAGAGGAGAGGTGTGGTCTTGGGTTTGCCTGATAAGGGACCAGCCCGGGACAGGGCGAGGAAGAGGCGATGCTAGTTGCGAGAATGGGGCCCCCGCAGACTGGGATGAAGCCATTGAAAGGTTTGAGGAAGCGAGGCTGATAGACAAAGAGCAGTAGAAGGGACAGCGCCCAGAGTGGGGTGGGGGAGAGAAGAGAGAAGGATTTTAAAATCCTTAGGAGAGGGGGAGGGAGCTCTGGTAGCATAGTGGCTAAGACACTTGCCTGCTAACCAGACGGCTGGTGGTTCAAACCCACCAGCCACTCCTCGGAAGGAAGGTTGGGCAATCCTACTTCCGTAGTGATACTGCCTCGGAAACCCAAGGAGGGGTCGCTATGAGTCGGGGCCGACTCGACGGCACATAACAACAACAACAGGAGAGGGGGAAGCTTAAAGGGTCAGTGGGCGAGCATGTGGCCAGGAGAACTGAGACGCGTTTGGGGAAGGCACCTGGCGTTTGAAACCCGGGGGTGGGGCGGGGATTGGTGGTGCAGACAGACAGACGGAGTAAAGACATCTCTCCTCATCTGTATTTCAGACCTTTTGCGTCTCTGACTTATTAGGCAACTTAAGAAGGAAGTGTGGGGCAGTGGTGGTTTAGAGGTAGAATTCTCACCTTTCACGCGGGAGACCCCGGTTTGATCCCGGCCAGTGCACCTCGTGCCTGTTGGAAGGTTTGCATGTTGCTGTCATGCTGAACAGGTGTCATGGAGCTTCCAGTCTAAGATGGACCAGGAAGAAGGGTCTGGTGGACTTCTGAAAATCAGCCAGTGCTCCTCTCATACGGAGTGTCCCTGTGAGTCACGGTTGACTCCACGGCGATGGCTTTGTTTTGGTTTAGTATAAACAAGCCGTAGTGCATCCTCAGTGGTTTTTAAACCACTGTCAAGTCAATTCCGACTCGTAGCAACCTTATGTTGTTGTTATGTGCCCTTGAGTCAAAACCGACTCATAGCGACCCCTCCTTGGGTTTCCGAGGCGGTATCACTACGGAAGTAGGATTGCCCCATCTTCCTTCCAATAGCAACCTTATAGAACAGAGTAAAAGTGCGCCCCAGAGGGTTTGCTAGGCTGTAATCTTTACGAAAGCAGATCACCAGGTGTTTCTCCACAGAGCTTCTCGGAGGGTTTGAACCACCCACCTTTCAGTTAGCAGCCAAGTGGTCAGCCGTGGTGGCACCATGTTCAAATGACGGTCCTGCCGAGTTGGTCCAGCTCATAGTGACCCTGTGTACGAGGGAATGAAACACCGCCCAGTCCCGAGCCAGCCTCACAGTGGCTGCCAAGCTCAAACCCATCGGTGCAGCCACTGTGTCAGCCCATCTCTTTGAAGGCTTTCTCCTTTGTCGTTGACCCTCCACTTTACCGAGCACGATATGTCCTCCTCCAGGGAATGGACCCTTCTGGCAACATGACCAAAGTACAAGAGACAAAGTCTGGCCATTCTTGCTTCCAAGGAGCATTCCGGCTGGACTTCTTTTCTTTTTTTTTTTAATTTTATTTTGATTTGGGTGAAGATTTACAGAGTAAATTCACTTTTCATACAGCAGTTCACATATACGTTGTCTCATGTCATTGACCAAAATTT